TGCATTCCAGTTATCAGCACTCTTCGTCTGCAGCGGCTGTCGCTGCAATCATCCGACTTGATCCCGTCGCCCCAACGAGTCACTTGTAAACTTGTATTAGTGTTGATAAATTTTGTTGTCTTTCTCCAGCATCCCTACACTAAGCGCTACAGCACATCAGCTTCATCCAAATCTCGACCAAATCTCGTCGTAACGTCGTCGTCGTAACACATAAATGGACCGCGATCGAATACCTGGTTATCGAATACTTGTCCAGGATTTATCACTTCCGCTCGGCGTCCCCTCCTCCACTACTCCCACAAAGGACTTTCTTCTCACAACATTCTTCGACATGTCCACACATTCGTACGTCGCAATAAATACCACTTCTCTAAGTATTTCCCTCCTACTGAGCCGCTCTGTCGACATCTGGTACACGCTGTTCTGCAATAATTACACTACCCCAAAATCCACACATACGTAGCATCACAAACATTCCGTCCACATCGTTACTTTCTGCTCGTGTCACGATAAAAATACTTCCAGCAATGTCAAATTCGAAGCGCGCCAAAGCCAATGCTGATGATGCTGCGACGAGCAAACACACCAGCCACAGAACTTCCATCGAGGTTCTATTTTTGTATTACAACGTTTTTTTATCTCTCCCAACCACTTTAAATTTATAATTAATAAACTCTATTCTTTCTCTTCTTCCTCTTCTTTTTTAACCTTTTTTCCTTCTCTCTTATATTCCTTCACTTCCTTCTTTTCCCTGAACACCACGACCTCATACTGACGAGGTCCAGTCGTGGTGTTGAGCTAAGACGTATGTGACTTAATGGCCGAAACGTCTTAACTATTTTTTCCTACTATTTTTTCCTCTGATTATACACCATCCCTACTCTGGCACCCATCAACATGGATGCTACAATCGGCTAAGAGAAACCAATTCAGCCCAATTTCCGAGATGGCAATTTGCTGGCTATTCCTGAACTGCAACTATGGCGTGTCCATATTCACGATTTAAGCGGGTCGAGCGGAATTTAAAATATTTATTTCATATAACTACACAGAACATCCCTCCTAATTTACAGCTTCCTAAGTTACCTGGTTCCCGAAATCGCTTTCCCGTCAAAAAAACTGCATACAATCTTTCAGACGTTCTTACGTGTGAATCAAACACACGAAAACGACGGTTTCAGAACGGAAGCACCATACACGTGGTGGGAACATGCTCCACAAATTTCAGCTTCTTGGCTGCGCCGGTTGCTGAGTTGAAAGTGGTGACAAAAGAGCGAATATATACACACAAAGGCACAAACACATACATACAGACACGCACACAAAGGTAGCCGCTCGTCAACATGCGTCTTCGCGCTTCCACAAATGTGCAAAAACACATAAAAATCCCAGCGCGTACACGCAATAGTACAGAACGTTTGAAACAGTATTACAGCAAATTTTTTAAAGCTTCCCCCAGGAATCTCCTGTTTACAGCAGATTCCAGCTTTTTCTCGAATTGTTCCAGAAAAAATGAACGCTCAACAGCAGGCCAAACGGATGCTTGCTGCTGATATGCCTGAATTAGAATTTCGAAATGCAGGCATTTCTGGTCAGATGCTGAGCGTTAACACAAAAGGAGAAAGGGAAGTTTTTCAGAAGAACGGTGGAAGCTTTCCAGCAAAAAACCAACACTTCAGCAATGCTACAAGCAACGGCATAGTCCTTTTCTCTCATCTTCCCTTCTCCAGGTATTTTTCCCTAACATACATCCAATTACCGTCCATTTATTCGGAACAGTTTTGCCTTCCCTGAATTTTCCTTCGCTCATCGTTTGTGCCTTGAAGTCCTGTTGTTTTACCACTTTTTCAGTTCATCCATTCTTCACATCTCGATGCATGGCCGAAATACGTTGCGGTGCGAGTTTTAGGCAGATATCTCACGCTGCAGCTGACACTTCGCATTGCTCAAGCTTAACTAGAAGCTCGGAGAATCTTTTCAGACATTCATCTTTTCCGAAGAACTGAAACAGTTCCATAACAGGTGGCCCATTGCGGCTGTCGATTAATGCCAAACGGATTATCTGCAACACGGCTGCGTACTTCATGCCGTGACCTGCGGCCAGATTTCGTAAGCTATCCAAACTCCACTCTGTGCAATCAATGACGCTCCGTAGGACGTTCGATACAACGTCGGCTTCAAAATGAGCCAGAAGCTTTGCTGGGCTGGATGGGCGCAAGAAGTAGTACTTGAAATCGCATTCAGTTAGCTGTTCCAAGTATGAGAGTTTTCGATCTGTCCGATCAAAAAGGTCGAGCACTTTCTTGACGTAGCTCGGATCAGCTAACAACTCAGCCGCGCCTTCCGGAAGAAATCGCTGTAGACGTCTCATAACTTCAGGCACAAGTTCGTTGTCCACATCAGCAGACTGAATTGCCTTATGGCCGTACGCATCGAGTACCAGCTGATCCAGCTAGAAAAACTGGTGAGCATTAATTCATAATATCCGAATTATTTCAAAACAGTCTTTCCTCTTGAAAAGCCTGGTGGCGCCCTCAATTTTTGTCAAAAACGAGGAAAGAAAGAGGGGAGGCCTGGGGCGGGAGGGG